GGTCAGCCCCCATGGACAAAATTGTTTTGGCACTTTATGTTTGGACTTTGTGAGTCATTCGGGCTGTTTCTGGGGTAGGGGGTTGTGTTCGGACATGTTTGTAATTTATTTCCTGGGGTGTCATCCTTGAAGATAGGTTATGTCAATGAAAATGGTCCCACATGTCTGCATCACAGGATAAAATTTGTTGATTCAAATTTCTAGTAGCGTCCTTCGCCACAGCTCGTCAAAGAGACACATTGTCAGTGCCAAAAGGAGAAAAGAAAAGTAAAAGTAAACAAGCAAAGTAAAAGAGAAACCGACTCTTCATCTCTTCTATACAATTAGGATCTATACAAATCAGGTGGTATAGAATGATTCTATTGTTTCTATTGTTTCATCTTCTGTCATGTTTGGCATAGTATGTGTCTTTTTTTTGATTTTTTGAATGTTCTCAAACACAATTTTTTCCTGATCCCCCATCTGGCATCATCTGGCCATATCCTCTGAACACTTCAAAATTAAATCCTGTCCCCTGACCCCCCCCCCACTCCAAAATAACTTTTTCTTCGACACAATTAAATGCTATCCCCTGACCCCCCCCCCCATCCAAAACAACTTTTGTTGGACAAAATTAATTCCTGTCTCCTAACCCCCCCCCCCCTCCAACATAGAGATCATGTTTGAAATTATTTCCTGGGGCTTAACGTCTGATATAGTCTCAACACAACTATATTTTTGGTTTCCGCAATTAAAAAAAGCGTAGTGGACCTACAGGATTTAATTTGGGGAGTACAAAGGAGGATCCCAGAAGCTAGAAACAAACAAGCACAAGACTACAAAAGCTAGAAACCAGGAGGGTCTCCTCGTTCGGTCTACAAGTGGTATGCTTTGGTCATCGAATTGAAACCTTTTCCTTGTGGACTCTGTGCAGACTCCCCAACACACTCGTGTTTTGGCTCCCTTGACCTCATCACTGACACGATCACTGACACGATCGGTCAACCCGCGTCCCTCGGGTATCCGGACCACCGCAGCTCAAACACCATTGGCCGCAAAACCAACATGGAGCCTGGCGAACGTGGCGGCTCAGAGCGAGTGGCTGGTCCGCAGGCCTTTCCATCTCAAGAGAGGGTTGATCTTTGACTGACTGTTGCTGGTCATGGGACACACACCTGGCCAAGGAAATCAGATCTGGCTCAGATTGAAGCCTTGAAGGCCCCACCCACCAACCCAGCAGTGCCTACCTGGTTGCTTGTTGGTCCATGTGTTCCATGTACGTGACCCGCACATGTGCGGATGTACGTGCCTACCTGGATCTTGCAACCCTGAAAATGTGTCTGCCTTCCAGCCTTTCCGGCTGGTTTTGGGGATGAAACACCAGAACGCTTGCACAGTTGGAAGATCCAGCTCTGACCTCCTTCAATATCCAGGATCCACTCTGTCTTTGTTTGCATCGAACAGTTGTAGACTCTTGATTTATAAAACCCCTGTATATATACTGTAATATAAATTTATATATATATATATTATGATCCTATATGAAAAGGTTGTTCATTGTTTTTCATGGTTTTTCAATGCACATGGAGGGGTGAACAATCCCGCGCCATCTCCTCAGTGAACCCATCGCCACGGCGTTTCGCTCCGCCGCCTCGTGGCGGCGGCGTCCGCCGACTGAGCCAAATCCCGATCTCGGCAGGTCCTGTGCGGAGCGAACAGTGCAGGCCAGCAGTGAGGATGAAGTTCCAAGAGAGGTTGAGAGACCTCTAAGACCCATATTGGGATGGGCGCCCGGATGGGCTGTTCAACCTCTCTTGGTTGGTGGGTCAAACGCGTGGTGATGTGGTTTGTTGGTTCTCTGTCTACCCGCACCCAAAGCCTACACATTGTAGTAGGGTCGATGAAGAGACCTATAGGGTCGATTGAAGGTGGTTCTTCTTGCTTGGGGTTCTTTGGATGGCTGATCACTGTGGGTCTGGCCAATCTGGGCACCCCCGCTTTTCTGGAAGGATATTGAAAGGGAAGGGGGTGTTCATGTGACATGTTATGACCCTACAAGAGACGTCTCGTTTTCTTGGAGAGAACGGAAGACTTCGATCGAAAGGGGCACTGCTAAGCTGTGTTGGAGAAAAAAGGCAAGTCTCCGAGCTCAGATCTTTGACAGTGCCGGGGATGTGCCAGGCCTTTCGAATGCTCAGGTTGAACCTGTCCGCACCGGCCGGTCGCAGCGGGGGAGTGTCGACGCGCAGAAGGCAGCTGGGCTCCCCGGCAGAATTCGATCAGCGGCGTGACCCGAGGCCACCAGGCCTTGGATCCACCGAAGATGACCGACATTGGCCGACCGAATGGGAAGAATATGGCGGTCCATCGCTAGTAGGTTGGAGACCATAGCTAGCAGGTTGGGAGGCCATCGCTAGCAGGTTGGGGTCATA